CCTTCCATTTGCCAGATATTCAATAAAGTTATTTCATCATCATTGCCTTCTAGTTGTCTTAGGCGTATGCATAAGGTACCCTGTCAGGTTCCTTTTTTTACACACTGCTTTCTATAGAAGACACTACAGGGGGATTTTAAAATATAGACCTAATGCCCTAGCCAAATAAAACGTGGCTGCAAATGGAAAACGAAGTTTGTCAAGACGAGTAGTTTCATCACAAAGAGATGAGTGCCGGGAAAAGTTAGCATTATCAGACTAGCTAAAGGACATCATGTTAAGCCTAGCAGTATAATCGGTTGTGGAGAAAAAGAAACTTTATATATTATTGGAGTCGTCCAAAGAAAATGCAGTTGCGACTCTGTGTCTGTAGAGTTGTACGTCACGGCGTTTGTCTATCGTACATATTGCTAACCACATAAGTGTATAGAACGTTATTTCATCACGTACAATTTTATTCAAACAGCATTATGTTCATCTGCTATTACAATAATTGCGAAACAAATCTTTTCAGAATGTCCAGCATAATGATGCCATTATTTTTGCATTATCAGCTAAAATATAGGAATGCTCCTAAAATGAGATTTGAAATGAATGGAAATATTTCTAGCTCTTCACAGGAGACAAGAGCACCAAAATAAGTTTTCATGCCCCTGAGTGTAAATTAAACATGGTTCTCCTCCAGGATGTGAAGTTAGCTGCTCCAGATTGCTCCAAAATGGAATATTTTGCTCCTCCAAAAATTGCTCCAAATTAGAAGACCTCTATGGGATCACTGCATTGATAACGTTTTAGACATTGTAACACATTGAACTTGTATTCTGGCGTAAATTTTTATTTCGCTTTAGTGTCCCTCCTACACGTTATTCGAAGGTCGCAGGTTCTATCCCTGCCAGCGGCAAGTTCTCTTTTCGCCCACTTTTACCCCTTCACTTTCACTTCAATGTACACTCATTGACACCGTTTTCTGTTAGATTCATAGTCGTTCATGTGCCGTCAAAACTTTGGCTCACGAGTAAAGAAGCTAGCTTTCAAACCTGCAGCACACTATAGCTGAAATCGGGTTATCATGCAGGCTTTACAGTGGTAAGGCGTATCACCAGTGAGGTAGAATTGAAGAGAAATTCGACCCTCGTTCAGTGGTGGATGGAGAGGGGGCGGCAGGGCACACCCTTCTCCTCTCTTTAGTGCTTGCCGTCCACCTCCGTCCACCTGCTATCACCAATAAGGACAAATGAATGGGACCGCTTTGACCACACATTAACAGTATTTATGCTATGTCAGTTTTCGTGCTCGTAAAAACAAAAAAGGAATGATTGCGCCCGCCTCTCCGGTGTTGCTTCAAGCGACCGCGACCCCCCCCCCCCTGAAATCAGTGGCTGGATCTGCCCTTGCCCTCGTTAATTACGGATAAACAAATAATGCCAATGTGTTCTCTGGTTCCGAGAAGCGTTTTTATTGTTCTATGGCTCTAAACTCATTAATTCAATCATAATTGGCCGCAGACTGGTTAATGAGGAAACCTCTGAACGCGCTGAGCATGAAGCACTAAGAATAGGCAACGCCAAGATGCCGAAAAAGACGTGGTTGCCGTCGGCAATCTCGAGTCTTGACCAACGCATCAACGCTTGCGAAAATTTTTTCACTGTCTGTCTGTAGGTCTGTCTGCCCGTCTGTCCGTCCACCCGCTTACGTTTAGGTGCTCTCGTGGTCACCCTGCCAGACAGTGGCAAATACCTTTTAGCGGGTATGTGTTGCGGGAATGTGCCATAAGTGATTGACACTTAAAACTGGTACTGGCACAAAAACATTGGCCTCGCGTTTTTCTGATGAGATGTGTTGCTGGGGGCCTGCTAGTCATGACACGACACATCGTTTGCTGCAGCACGCGACAGATAATTAATTACAGGCCCATCATCATCGATCAATTTCAGTTTCGGTTTAAAAGAGCTCCAAAAACCGTGTGGAACTGTCGCCATTGAGCGTGTGCAGCACGTCAGCACACAAAACTGGGGCACACTTCCGTTCGGTCCGCATCAAGAATTACTTTCGAATAGGAAACGGGACTGTAATGTCGCAAAAAATAAAAAATTCTAAGCGTGCGCCACGACCATGAAGTCGCAACCAGCCGCGGAAACAAACGTGGCAAAGGAAAACGGCAGCTATGACGTCATCATAACTTGTTTTGACTGCAGCGTGGTGACGTGAGAAAAGTAGGGGGCCCCTAAGGGTCCCCTTCGAGGGTGTCAATGGTACGATGAAGTGGAGGGCTCACGCAAACTGCAAAACTTTTTTTAAATACATTCCCAGCTATACTCGCTGTTGATATTTTGCAGATGATATACGAATGTTCCTGGGAATCAACCCCACAGGCTATCTCGGCCGCAAAATTTTGTCAGTGCCCCTTTAATGTCTACCCAGGAACAGCAAGAAGACACGTTCTTAACGTGCGAGCGTCAAGAAATACCCAACATTGGTAGTGTTGAACCCGACGAATACAAAGAATAAATGTCGGTGTCCTAGCTGGAATCGAACCCAAGAATTCTGCGTAGCAATGAAGCATTCTACAAGAGAGCTATGCTAGGTACTCGTAACTACTTTTAAAATAGACGCGAATCTACGCAAAACGCCATAGTGGTTGAAGTGCTGCCTACCCAATTTTATCAACATTACATATGTGCTCCTTTGATACAGCCGTCACCACGGGTTAACGTCAATTGTGGTTAGCTTGCATGTGCTGAAGTTGATTTATATAGCAGTATCCAGAGCTAGCATCCTCGTGAGCATCAGCACTTCATATCAGCTTCTGGGGTTGCTAATACGCATGGTGCAGTTGGCATCATTGGGTTAGTGCGAACAACCGGTTATATAGATATATGCAACTCTTGAACATATGTCTGTGTAAGCAACATTTGTACACATATTTAGCATCATTTCATGACATGTCGCTCGTCAGTTGCGCTGGTGCGTAATGATGAAGGGATCGGTTCAAAGCATGTGTTGGCTTAAAACGCGGGTGTTCTGAGGCGCAGTCACATTGTGAACGAAATCTCGAATGACGAAAATTGTGGCTTTTACCCTGCTGTTATCTAAAAAGTACTGTATTTAGGTGTTCGTCAAGAAAATGAAGGTGCAAAATGAAGGTGCAAAATAAAAATAATCTCCCTGTTGGTGCTTATCAGCTGGTCCGCACAGCTGCTGCGACCAGTTTGCCCTCCGCGCGAGCCGAGTGCGAGCGTTGAAAGGCCCGCTATTCCACCGGGGTTGCTGCAGCCAGCTTTGCAAGTTTACATGCTGGTGTTTGGACATTTTTGCATGGTTTGTGACAGGTTACGGTTGTACTATATTTTGTCTGCGCCAAGCAGTAGTGTGAACTTTGTTTTTTTGGAAAAGCCACCAGGACGCCTATGGAAAGTCGCCAATTTTGTTCAAAAGTTGGGAAACGTATATCATTTTTTTTCTTGAGTGTTTAGTTTTTGACTATAAAGAACGCGAAGAGGTTGTTTTTTATTTAAAAAATAATTCAAATCAATCCTGTTGTGGCAAATGATGTTGGAGTGCGCTACGCTACTGTGAACTGGTGAGCAACTATAGTCCATGTGTTTCCAGTGAACCTTGAGCTGTTCTGGCGTTCGGAGCCGCTTTGACCGTCTCTGACTGTAACAGGAGTGATCGTAACGGCCATGTTGCTCGCTAAAGGTCGCAGCGCCACAAGCAGCTTGATCCTGCATGTGCATTGGGCTCATTTATTGAAGCTCGTTCCGAGCTTCAGTAAATGTGGACAACGCTTTGCTTACTGTAAAATATCACTTTTAAAGCACCAATGATGCAGCAAGTCAAGACCTAGTGGTCTTCAGCCTCTTTGAGCAACAAAGGCGCTGCTTCAGTGCTTTTCACCGCGCCCACTACCAACGCTGGGCGAAGAGCGAAACTGAAACTGCAGAAAAAAGTCCATAGACAGTTCGCTAGCTAATGTTATCTAATCCCAAGCCTGTGCTTCCCATAGGTCCCATGAGGGCGCAAACAGAGTTCATAATGCCGCGTTCCTTCCCCAAGTTTTGTAATCGCCCTGTCACACTGTACGTAATTCTCAGCGCAAACTGCGCCTGCACTGTTCGAGAAGCTTCATGACTACATTAGTCTAGTTGATCATTTCGTTAAGACTCTATCCACTTTGCGAACATTAGAATATTCTGGCACCCACGGGGCCGTTAGCGGTAACACTAGAATATTTGACAGTACGTGTATAAATACCAACTCGCTTCACCACTTCTCATTCGATCGACGGCCGATGCTCTGTTCACCAATATTAGTGCCAGTCTGCATCGCTGCAATCTGACCTCCAGTTTACAGGCCTCAAGTTCGGGCGAATGAACAGTTTGATCTCCTAATTGCAGTCTGCTCCATTGGTTGACGTCGCGACACTGTGGCATCTGGTGGAGGTGCTGTTCCTTTCATGTACCGGACGCATCCATTAAGTTGCGAGTCCAGCGCCAGTCGTGAAGACATCGAGGACAACCCTAAGCAGTGAACAAGCTGCAGGCAACTGTCTACCGCCAGAGTTCGGGCCTCTGCCTGAGAACACTAAGCAAATCAAGACCGTGGCTTCAACCACAGGCACGATAACCGCCGTGCCATCTGCACCAATCTTGCTGCAGCAGCCCAAAGAGCCACCAACGTTCCTCAGATCATCAGAGGAAGACACAGAAAGTTGGCAGGAGACATACAACCGAGTTGCCGCCTTGAACAGTTGAGACCCCAATGAGAAACTGCGCCACAACTACTTTTACGTAGAAAATGCCGCGGAAACGTGGTTCGAGAACCGGGAGTCCACACTACAATGCTGGGATATCTTTCGGACGACGTTTCTCTGCACGTTCACGAGTGTTGTTTGTAAGGAATGTGCAGCTATTCGGGAGATGCGTGCGCAACTTCCCAACGAAAACGACACCATCTTCATCGAAAAAATGACCTGCCTGTTTTCTCGCGCTGACCCCGCTATGGCTGAGGAGAAGCTTCGATTCCCAATGCGTGGTATCAAGGAAGAGATGTTTGCAGGCTTTGTGCGCAACCTACCTAAGACTGTCAAAGAATTCCTCACCGAGGCCGTCACAATCGAGAAAACACTTGAGATGCATAGAAGGCAGTTTAACCGCAGCTCTTCAACAGTCAACTACTCCGAGGCTCATGCCCTCAGCACCAATGACCTGCACGAGACAATCCGAGCGATCGTGCGGGAGGAGCTGCGCAAGCTGCTGCCTTCACTGCAGCCTCAAGTGGATTCAATCATCGTCATTGTCCACGAGGAGGTGCCAGTGTACATCATTCAGCGCCTTGAATCCGTACTTCAAGCAATCGGGAGGTCTGGACTCGCCCTAAGCCAGAAAAATGACGATTTGCGTACGAAGAGCTCTTGTTTTTGGGTCACGTGATCAGTAAGACTGGAGGGCGCCCAGACCCGCAGAAAACAGCGGCCATCGCCGCCTTCCCGCCAGCCACTGACAAGAAAGCCGTGCACCAATTTCTTGGCTTGTGCGCCTACTAAAGATGCTTCAAGGACTTTTCACTGATCCCCGAGCCACTAGCTTGCGAAGACCGGCGTCGATTTCAAGTGGAATATGGCTCAAATTGAAGCAGTTCAGAACCTTAAACGATGCCTGCAGACACCGCCGCTACTTGTGCATTTCGATGAATATACCGAAACAAAAGTACGCACCAACGTAAGCAGCGTAAGACTCGGCGCCATCCTTTTGCATCAAGCCGACGGCCTGGAAAGGGTTATCAGTTATGCTAGTTGATCGCTATCTAAGGCTGAGATAAACTATTCCACAGCAGAAAAGGAGTGCTTTGCCATCATCTGGGCAGCATCGAATTTTCGCCCTTATTTCTAGGCAGGCCTTTCAAACGCAGGCCACAACGCTCTGTGTTGGCTAACTAATTTGAAGCACCCTTCAGGCCGCCTTGTATGGTGGAGTCTAAGACTTCATAAATTCGACATTACCATCGTTTACAAGTCTGGAAGGAAACACTTCGACGCCGACTGCCTGTCTCGTGCCCCTGTTGATCCATCACCGCAGGACGATCAGGATGATGAGCAATTCTTGGGAATCATAAGTGCTGACTATTTCACCGAGTGACAGCAAGCTGCAGACCAGGCAATTAGACGGCTAGTCTAATACCTCGAGGGCCGAGCCAGTGTGTTCCCAAAAGTCTTCAGGCGAGGACTAGCATCATTTTTCTTGAAAAAAAAAAAAAACGTCCTTGTAAAGAACTTTTCTCTGGCCCGATTTAGTTACCTTATCGCTGTACCTGCAGCAATGTGATCAGTGGCGTACCAACTCCTTCGCGAGTGGGGGGGCAAGCATTCCCAATTCGTCCCTGGAGTGTGTATACATATACCGAACCTGCGGCCTTCGCAGGTCGGAGGTTCGGTTCCTGCTCACTGCAAGTTATCTTTTCACCCACTTTTCTTTCTGCACATTTACTATAGAATTCGGTCTAATACTTTCTTTGGCATTATTGTCTGTTAGATGTCATTAATGCGGTGTGAAAACACGAAAAAACGAGCCCTTAAATATACACTTCTTTCCTTTTTATATGTATGTATATATATATATATATATATATATATATATATATATATATATATATATATGCGTCGAGAAACGATGAGCGAACATGCGACGAAAATGTTCATTTCTTCTGCAGGAGGGCCTGCCCTCCTTAAAGAATACAGGGTGCACGACGCAAAATCTGCATTTTTAAATAGATGAGTACGGTGAGGACCCCCAACATGTGCTTTACTGTTATTGTCCTAGGTAAGGCATATATCATGTCAATATCAATAAACACAGGCATTTGTGCGATATCTTTACGACTGCATGAAAAAAAAAATGTGAGCAAGGTGCAGTTTTCTACTACAAAGTATGGGGTATGCGCAAAAACATGCAAACGGACAATGTTCCATGGGATATATACTAACGTTGTTACATATATATAGGATTGTGGAGATGTTGATTGATATGTGGGGTTTAACGTCCTAAAACCACCATATAATTGAGAGACTCCATAGTGGAATGCTCCGGAAATTTCGACCACCTGTGGTTCTTTAACGTATGCCCAAATCTGAGCACACCGGCCTACATTTCCGCCTCCATCGGAAATCCAGCTGCCGCAGCCGGGATTCGATCCCGCCACCTGCGGGTCAGCAGCCGAGTTCGTTAGCCACTAGACCACCGCGGCAGGGCTGGTGGGAGATGTGTACGAAGGATTCGTGGATTGCGCGATCATCTCCGAGCAAACACCTCTAACATCACATTGCTTTGTGGATATGGTGGGAATTTTTTATGCATCGCCTCACAACTCTGCATAAATACAATTAACTCATCTTTGCCGAGAAAGAGGGAGGAATAAGTAGCGCTGCACATGTGTGCTTCTTTGCTGTAATAGTTGTATGTAGAGCTGTAAAACTCAATTCAAGTTGAATGAACACAGATTAGCCCGACTCTTGACTAAGTCTACATAGTGCAAAAAAACCACGGACTTTTACCATCTCCCTGGTTCGTGGCATCAAGCTTCTGGGAAAGATTATGAGCTGAGCTTCCCACTGCTGGAATCTATTGCTTTATTCGTCGCCACTTTACAAGCTGCTGCCACTGTTACAAGGTCCCATAAGAGAATCTGATTATGGATTTGGTTGGTCGGAGGCTGATGCGCAAACCTTGTTATTTTTTGCTGTTTCAGTGTGGCAAAACCACACATTCAATAGAATTCATCACACTCATAGGCCCACAGCAGCTTCCACAGAGCAATCTTGATGCTATTCCTTTTTTACGGAAGAAAGTTATTTTCGTAATGCAGCAAGTGCTTTCACTGGTCCATAAAAACATTGCTCATTTTCATTTGTAGCTGCATCAGCCAGGCACAGCAAAATAAAAGCATGAGCCAATAATGCAATTCTATAGGGCACTGTTCAGGGCTAGCCTGCTCTGCAGTGCTACAGCTCAAGGCGCGAAAGTGTCATACAGTGGTCCGCACTGCAAAGAGCCTACTAGGGAAGTCTTCACTGCAGAATTGCTGCAAATATTCCATTATATGTAACATTTTTACGTAATATTTTCATCTCCTCGTAGCATCATAACTGAGTAATTACTGTGGTCAAAGAAAACATCGTCTTAACTATTGGTTTTCAAAGCGTGCAGCCAACATTGACCATTGTCGGAAGTGGGGGGCTCAGCCCCCCTACCTCTTCTTGGTGGGGGAAGCTAGCACCCCCCCCCCACCCCTCCCCGACTGATATGCCTATGAATGTGACCGGAAATTCTGCAGGCCCTGCACGATGACCCAATGGCTGGCCACCTTGGTTTTTCCTGCATGCTCGCGAGAATACAAAACAAATACTACTGGCCATGTTTTTACGCTGACATCGCTCACTACGAGAGGATATGCCGGGACTGCCAGCTGCGCAAGACACCACCGGTAAGGCCAGGAGGACTTTTGCAGCCCATCAAACCACCTCGCCGACGGTTCCAACAAATCTGTATGGACTTACTTGGGCCGTTCCCGAGATCGGCTGTTGGAAACAAATGGATTGTCGGAGCTACAAACTACCTTGCCCACAACGCCAAGACAAAAGCCCTGCCCAAAGGCAGTGCATCAGAGGTAGCCAAATCCTTCGTCAAAAAGATCGTCCTGCATCACGCCACCCCAGATGTGCTACAGTCCCACAACTTCAGGACTGTAGTAGTGTAGTAGATCATCTCATCAAGAATCCGCCCACTTCACAAACATCAGATTGCTCTGGAACCCACGTGGGCGCTAGCGATAACGCTAGAATATTTGTTCGCACGTGTAGAAAACCAACACACTTCATAGCTTGTCAGTTGATCGACGGCCGACGTTCTGTCCGCCGCTATCAATGCCAGTGCGCATCGCTGTAATGTGACCTTCATTTTACGAGCCACAAGTTTGGCCGAATGAAGTTTGATCTCCTATTTACAGTCTGCTGCATTCGTCCATGTATCGACCACGGGAGAATATACAGATTCTAGAGGGAAAAGCTGGGCTAGTAAAGCTATAACCAAAGAACACCTATCAGTTTAGAGAATGGAAACTGTACCTTTGGGCTGTTGTATCAAAATAACATGCAAATACGTACCGGCAGCGTACTGAACAGCAATACCGCGAGGCAAGATGGCACTGGTAGTACTATCATCATAGTTATCATAGCATATATAGGAACTCTATATCATCAATAAACTGATGCATTTTTTTGTTGCAGGTGGGGGGGCTCACGGCTGGTTCGCGTTACTCGCTTCCTCTGGTATTCTTTTGTCGTTGCTTAATCGCGCTTTGCGTTCGTAATTATCGCCAGGTGACCTAACTGGCGTCGACTGGCAAAAACAACATTTAATCAAGTAATGTTTGCATTGTTTATTGCGAGTGTCCAAGCCGGTACAACCAATGTATACGGTCGAGTCCGAACAAAAGAAGTCACTCATGCATATCGAAAGCATTCAACCCATGTGTAAATACTCTTGAAAGCTAACAAGCATATGCATATAACTGAACATCGAGATCGCTGAATGAACGTCGCTCTCATTGTATTGCGGCGTTCAAGTTTAACAGCATGGTCCGATTCTGCCGTCAGATGGGGCACTTGCCTTATAATGTTGATCTTGAAGTGAAGTGAATGTATAATGTGGAATCGGGAAAGAAAATTGCACATTGCCGAGAGCTTGTGCAGTGAGAGCAATGTAGTTTTGCTAAATTTGTTAAATAAGCAATTGCAGATGCGTGCAGTTCTGAATTTTCCTCGCTCTGCAATGCTACATTGCGTACTTCACAATTGTGCAATGTCGTGTCGGGTCGACAAGGTAGGCACTAGTTTTATTTTCTCAGCTGTGAGCCCATATCGTAGGTAAGTATGTATTTAGGTGGTGAGCCTACAAATAATTCAGGCTTGCTACATTTATTGTTGGAGTTAAATTACACAGCTAGTACAGCTAGAATTTTTTGTTGCAGGTAATGACCGGTCTGCAAAGTATACAGCGAACATGTATGCTAAAAGAAGACCTAATTCTAAGAAAATAAGCTTTAGGGATGCATTGTACAATTTTGTTTGTACATCTTTGTTGGTGCTTTTACATTACACTATCTGCTCAGCTCTGAGCACAATCTCTTTTTTGCATAGACATATCGATAGAGCTTGAGCACTCCCTTGCAAGCAAGCACTCCTGAAATCAAATGGTGGTACATGATGTGAATCTGTCCAAATACTGATATCAATAAAGGTCACATTTATTACACACTTATTATTGTGTTTACTCTTTCAGTGTACTTGTGCTTGAAGGCGGATGTTGT